ATGGAATAAAGCAGACCTATTTGACTTTGTGTCAGTAGATACGTTAGTTACATAATTTCGTGGGGTGGCGCTTTATTCCACCAAACAACAATCTTTATTCTGATTCTGCAAATAAATTTTATTTTATTTATTTATTTAAAGACACGCTTATCGTTTTTATGTTGTTTATAGTTTATGCAAAGCAAGTTTAGAAAACGCAGGAATGCGTTTCGTTTACAACACTTGAACCTTTAGTTATTGCAGTTGTAACAACATGTTGAGAAGAATTTACATACTTTTAGCAAAGTTCTAAAAATATAATAATTACATGAAAATAGTCAGGATGATTTACTTTATGAAGGCACAAATCTCATAAGCATCCATCATATTTTACTAGGTGTACAGGATGTGCCGTCTTCGAAAAATCTTTGAGAACAATTATTAAGACTAGTTATGTCCTGCCACGCTTCGCTGCGGCAAATTGTGGCTGTATTTATGAGAAATGAGGAACAAAACTGACGTAAAAAAATGATAAAAACAACCTTTGAAGCGATTTGTAGATTGTATCCAAATTTGAGCTTAAGTAGAATATAACTTCATGACTGCATGGATGGCGTAGTGGTTTAAGCGGTCGCCACGCCGTTTCCTGCTGCGCTGAGTATTGTGGATTCGATCCCCACATGAGATACTTAATCTGATCCACAAATTATTGTGCCGAGTCTGGGCGTTCTTTGTGTCCGTTACATGTATGTTGGTAAAGTCGCCCGTGACACAGGATGTGGCGACTCTCACATAAACATACTACAGCGCCATCTAATGAAGACACATCGAACTACGGAGTAACTACGAAAATAAGAATTGCTAATCCTGTATCGCGATATAAAGAATTCCTTCGTCGATTAGCATATATACAACTTCCCAACATCAACCGTTGGGCCGCGGCTCGCCAGGCATGATCACCTCGCCTGGTCGGAGGATCCTCCCTTTGTATTGGAGGGACATGACACCCGTTCCTCCACAGTGGTGACCCCAACGTGATTGGAAGCAGCCTTCAAAAGGAGCAGATCATCAGCAGCACCATCGTGTACACTCCCACTGCGATGAGCAGTAATCAAATCTCTGCCAGCCAGCAACCTCGGCCTCTACAGGGATACCACACACAGGTAGCGACCGCTCCAGCTTGGTTACCTCTACGGCCTCATTAGCGTCTAGGCACAGCACACTGCACCTACGGTCCACGTAAGAAGAGCATTTTCTCTCCCGTCTACGCAGCAGCCAGCCACTACGCAGCAACCGCCCCGACTCACTGGGGACTTCACTGCAGCACCGCGCACCGCACGCCATCCCGACTCACTGGGATCAGCGGACTTCAGCCCCGACCTTCTGGGGCTAGCGGCACTCAGTTCCGACTCACTGGAACTAGCGGCACTCAGTTCCGACTCACTGGAACTACTCACTACTGGCACTGGCACGCTCCACTACAGGGCATAGACAGCTGACTCATCATATATCGACCTCCGGTCTTGGAGGGGAGTGATGTGGCGACTCCCACATAAACATACTACAGCGCCATCTAATGAAGACACATCGAACTACGGAGTAACTACTAAAATAAGAATTGCTAATCCTATATCGCGATATAAAGAATTCCCTCGCTGATTAGCATATATACAACTTCCCAACATCAACCGTTGGGCCGCGGCCCGCCAGGCATGATCACCTCGCCTGGTCGGAGGATCCTCCCTTTGTGTTGGAGGGACATGACACCCGTTCCTCCACACAGGATATATATTCCTAATGCGGGAATTGTCTTTGATTTGATCTTTGATTGAAAAGGAAAGGAACTTTTTGAGTTTTTAAAGCGTACACAAACCAACTTTACATTTTATATAGTTAGTTGGTCAAAGTTGTAAATGCATAAAAAGCCTATGTATTAAAAAGCTGCAGTTTAAAACCGATATAGCGTGATTGCAGCATCACAACACTTAGAAATGACACAATTTGAACCTCAATTATTAATCCACCAATTGCAGAATTATCTATCCGTCAAATTCAATATACACAGGAACATGTTACAACAATCGACTCTCTTAAAATTTAGTCAATGTTTGCCACGATGTAGGACAACCTTTTAACGGCATCTTCCTTAAAGAAAATGGGATAGTAACAACAATACAAATATAGTCGATATTTGTAATCAATTTTGTGTCAAAGTACACGAATTAAAGATTCAAAATGTCTTAGTCAATTGCTCTGAAACTAAATCTTTTTATAAATGATATACATCAAGGACGCAAAGTCCCTCTTAAAGCTGAGAGGTCCCAAGCCGCTTGTGGTCTAGGCATCTTCAACAATCCTCAAAGCTGGACTTTGTACTGGATCAAAGCTTTAACCATTTCTTTAATATATGGATTTATAAGAACATCAACTGTACACTTTAAAATATGAAAGCAATAAACTAATGAGTATTGACCATTAAATCACATCACACACCTACCAGTGTTTAAAAACTCCAGCCTAGCCTGATATTTGGAATACAACTTGTAAAATTTTATATTTTAATAACAAAACATAATACCATCACAACATACTAAAACAATTTAAACTTTTAATTAAATAGAATGCTTATAAAACTTTGCTTGCTTTCAACAAAAGCTCTTATTTTATTTGTCTCAACGGTGTGCATAAGCATTTCTGAATATAATTTTAATATTTTATCAGACATATAATCAACATTACTCACACGGTCACCTCTAATGATTGTTTATAAGCTTCTTCAAAAACATTCTTTATAAGCTTCAACAACATCATAAACTAAACAAACAAGTTTGTTACGCTATGTATGATAAATAAACATAGCTTCAAATACTCACTAGCAGTGTTAACAAAACATAAATCAAAGGCAAATATCCATATGTCTAGCGATATTGTATTGATAAATATAAATAATGGTTAGTGGATTTTTAAAATAAAATATATTGATTACGAACTGTAGTAGTTCTAGTAATAGTTCCAAGCTACTGATTTTCTTTGTGTTGTTAAACTTAATTTAATCCTTTGTTAAAATCTTGAGTATGAATCATGAGAAAAGTAAATATAAGAAACATTAGAACATTAACTGACCCATGTATAAACTATCATAAACATTATCTGTCAGATGTTAAGAATACCGGAGAGTTAATCTTTATGACAGTTATTAGATTAAATGACAAATTCTTATAAATTTTGAAATTAAATATTACTTGATTGCATAAGTAAACAAGTTGAAGACAACTAAAAAGTGGCAATAGTATTGACAACATTGTAAGTTAAACACAAAATATTATGGAACTGGATTTTAATTGAGACATGACCTTCAGCGAAAGTCTAATTACTTAGACAACAATTGTTCCATTATGTGTTTTCATGAAAATTATATTATATAGTAATTAATTTACACAAGAAGTTGGCCAAATCATCATCATCATCTGTTGTCTAAATCATCATCATCATCACCTTTAATAGTCTACTGCTGGACATAGGCCTCTCCTAAGATTCCTTATACATATTTCTCCTTATATTTAGTATATATTTATCCCTAATTATTATATTTAAAAAATATTAAATTTCCTTAGTTTAAGGGGATGGACTCAAAAGGCGGAAACGCTCTTTTGACATTGAGTTGCAGGTGTCCTTTGGCGGCGGTAGTTACTTACCATCAGGTGACCTGTCTGCTTGTTTACCCACTTATACAAAAAAAATGCATTGTATAAGAAGAAATATATTCTGTCCTATCACTAATTCAGTGATCAGGCTACTTCAAGGCAAACATTTATTTAGTAAGAACGAGCAAAAACTGACAATGCTACACAATTAAATAGTAATGATAAAGTATTCTTTAAAAATGAGCTTTTGAAAAGCTGTAAGTCTATGAATCTCAAATCTCCGAGGCTATACACAGTATTTTTTTTTTCTTACTACACAAATAAATCTATAACTTTATAAATTACTGGCTAATAGAGATACAATATATTGTTATAATAAAACAAACTTTCATATTTCACATATAAAGACTTTAACGGTCTAATAATAATGTTAACTTAATATTCTCTATCGTTTCTATATATTTAACGTTGTCTGCGCACGTCTAAGGCTAAATTGTTCTTAACTTTGTTAATACACACTTACTTTGTTATAGATTATGTTAAAAAAATAAGGAAAAATAACCCTATTAATCTTTATCACCAAAACATAGTACCCAGTTAAGATCAAGGCGCGAATAACTTTGATGTCAGATTTCATTTCGTATGCAAACAAAATTAACAGTTCAAAAGGCTCTCATTTACCAGCGGGTCACCGCGAACCCTCGGCTCATTTTTTATGTAGATTGCGTCGAAGAAAAGTTTTACAATATCAGTCTGTGACACGAGAACCCTGCTGTATCCTCATGGGACCTCCTGTATTATATTCGGCTCTATTCTTCTATCTTCTATTCAAATACAAAATAATCAAATACCGTATAAAAGTAAAAGAGACGACATAAGAAACTATTGTTTAACTATATCTGCATCATATTAGCTTGTAAAATTACATGAATTATAGTCTAGTCTATCCAATTTCTGTTTCAGTTTCCAAACAATGAAGTTAGACTAAACATCTTAGTTAAATTTCAATCATTTTTCAGAGTGGCAGCGTAAAATTTAATTATATAATATGTCTTTCTCATTGAAGTTTTCAATAAAAAAGAGTTTTACAGTATTTGAAACAAACCAGCCAAAATGGAACTGGTCCAAATTAGAAGTCTGATCTTGCAAAATACAGACATAGACATGGTCGTCGTCCCCTCATATATTATTTTATATACTGTGTAAGGAACATAATTTAAATTACATACTATAGCACGGCTAATTTTAAGCCAAGCCACAGTTTGAAGTAAAATATACGGGTGGCCATTAGCGAAAGCAGATAGTATGCATTGCATCGTACCAGGATTTTGCATTTCCATCTTATTGTTGCTCTGCCCTCGTTTGGATGCAAATATTTTATAGTTCAAGCCCGAGCGACCCGTCCCGCATTTTAGTTTCTTTCGCTTCCTGTAATTTGCTTTCGTGATGTTTTTTCTCCTTTTCATCCCGCTTATTCCAAATTAAAATGGAACGTTCATAAAAATTCCATATATCATTTGATGCATTTGTGTATGTTGGACTATGTAGTTCATCATTGTTGGAGTAAAACTCATATTCGTAGTGGCCGTGTCGCTGGCCGACATCGCTAATGTCGTTCCAACGAAGCACATCGGCGTATAACCAAGCAACTTTCATTTTAATTATTAATTGTTAGTTCTCAGTTACGAAATAAGCATTAAAATGCTTAAATTTAAAACCTGACCTGTAGAGTTTTTTGTAGCATCGTGGATATTGTAGCGTGAAATGAAATGGATAGTAGTAGTAGTCATATTTATGAGTGAAAAATAGGTTTATACTAGCTTATCATCCCGTTCAAGTGAGCGCATTGTAAAAGTAGGTTAGTAGGCGAGAGTGTGCTTGTAAGCGATAGATTAACGAACTGTCTCTACTCATGCCTTAGTACTATAATGTTTAAGATGTTACTGGTATGTCTTTGGGATTTTCATTTTAATGGTAGTGTTTCTTAGTTGTATGTCTTCATTTACAACAGGTTCACGTTGTAAGCTCTTATTTAATTTGTCACTATTAAGTTTGATTATTATTAATTTTGTGAAATCTTAAATTATTTTATAAATTTCAAGAATTAAGTACATTTCAAAACAAAACTATTTCGATAACTTCAAAATAAATTTAGATGAAAATAATGAAATCCTTTTAAAATAATGCTATAAAATAAAATTTTGTTATAATGAGGTACTTACTGGCACTGTCACTAAAGACGTATATGAGAAATTCAATATCTCGGATATGAATAAAAATTAAATGTTTGCATAACAAAATTCAACATTTCCTGTAATTCGATAATTGAACATTTAGAAAATTTCACAAAGTACACCAGTAACATAGAAAATTCTTTAAAAAAAAAGTTAAACAGTTGGTTTAAATTTTATTAAAGGATTTTCTATCAATACTGATACCAATACTCACAAAGAGCACTAAAAATTAAAAAATAATTACAAATCTAACGAAAGAAACTATAATAAGTATCCTCAATATAATAGGTAACATTACAATAGCCATAGTCCCTTCTAGTCTGTCTGAAGTCGGTGCCAAGCCAAGTAGGTGTTTGACAGTCTTCGTGCTGCGCAAAACATACTGAACGAGCTAAAGTGGGTTACGCACATTTCAAATTCTACTGAGGATTTGGTTGTGGTCTCAGTAGATCAGAGCCCAGAATTCTTAGAACCCCACCGTTCAAGTTTAACGTATATCTTTAATATTTCTGTTACAATTTAGCGATTACTACTGGTATTTTATTCTCTTGTTATAGGTCTGTTTTATTGGTTATGATGAAGGCTAAGTGTATGCAATAAAAAAAAAAAATTTACGTACACCTACTACTACCTTTTTTGTAGTGTGTACATGAGAAGCGTATATTTAACGTAGTTTATCATAATATATATTCTGTAAGTAAAAACGTATAAGCATCTGTATTGCAAACTTTATAATTGTATGACAAAAAACTTCGTAAATTTATTGTCCTACTAAAACTTACGTTACTTAAAGCTACCTAAAAAACTTTCCAAAGAAAGAATTTCTTATTATACTTTATCATATTAAAATGTTTTTTTTTGTGGCATCTGTGGGGTTAATATAGCTTAGTAAGTTTATAAATCTCTGTTGGATATCTCTATGTAATACTCGTACTATTAATATTGAAAAAGCTCCCATGCGCTACAATGGCATACTTTAATAGAGCAGGAATTTAATAAAACTATCAATTGCAATTTTGTAGACAAGTCGCCAACCTGGAGGCAAGCCAGAGCTACCAGTTATACAGTTTTTTTTTATGCACACCATACTTCTATAAAGATACTACGTTTTAATTTACCCATTTTGGCACATCCCAACGGAAATGCGGATCATTTGTATTAGGAATGCGAATAATATGAGCCGAGAGGCAACAGCTAAATTACTTGAAGCCCCTCGGAGAATTAGTCGTTTGCGTTGTAATGAGTCTCCATAAAAGCCTTTAGTTTACTCTGAAAACATTAAGGTATAAGATTTTGAAGTTCAAAATATAATACAAGTAAATTTACAGGCGACTGTGAAGCGCGATAACCAATATTATAAATAAGTTCAAAATACTGGTTATCCTTTATAAACATGAATAGTTAAGTAAATGATCATTTTTTCTCACAGAATTAAATGTTTAATAATTTAAAAACATTTGAATTTTAACAAAATAATGGGAAATTCAATGCATCTTAGATTTAATGAAAACGAAAAATTCTATACATTTTAGACTGATTTAAAATTTCTTAAGAATATTTACTGATTATAAATTATTATAATTTGATAAAAAAAATTTTTTTTTTACTTTTACTGATGTATAATTAATTTTTGAACTAAAATTAGTTGCCATATCATGTACCCTGACCTACCATGATTTGGAGACGTCAGTTAAAATTTTGCCACAGGACCTAATTTAAGTGGGCCAGATTCAGTTTATATGAGAGTTTGTGTTTTGTTTTAGACACATCGTATTATGTGACACGTCTTAGAGCTCTTGAAAATCGAGATGAAAGTCCTGGATTTTTTGGTAGTGCAAGTTAGCCAAGACTTATAGATTTTGTGACAGATTTGTCTCTTGGACAAATATACCAAGACTTTTGTACAAACACGCAAGACTTGCGTGTTTGTACAAAAGTAAGGAAAGTTTGTGAAAGGAGTCTTGCGTGTTTGTGTAAAAGTCTTGGTATATTTGTCCAAGAGACTTAGAAACGATAGAGTTAGAGCTAAGGTAATAAAATAAATTGTGACATGACTGGTTTAGACAAATCTAAGAACTGTCATAACTTACGTGAAAGTTTATGGTTCTTAAAGTATTTTTTCCAAGGTATGCTTAAAGTTATTTTGCGTATTTATTGATTTTTTAGAACCAAAAAAGCATGTAGAGGTCGGAGAATTCATCTAATCTACGAACAGCAGTTAAAAGTTAAATAGTGGGCCAATATGCAAAAGAACCACCGACTCTTGAAAAGCAGATCTCCATGGGCTGCGGTAGTCACTTATCATTATTTGACTTGTCTGTTCGCTTTCCTCTTATACCATTAAACAATATTTATTACAAATTGAATGAAAAATTTAAAAAAAAAGTTTTTTTTTTGTTCTAAATTAAAGTTTGTTCCGATAGTCGTAACAGGTTTGTTCTATCATATTTTGTTTTAACACCATTTTAATAAATAGCCCCCAGGTTATAAAAAAATCTAAGTATTTATATTGTATTTCTATTAAATTGCGAGTAAAATGTGGAGTATTTCATTTGAAAATAAATATAAAAGTACGCAACAAAATTATAGAATTTAGAAATATTCTACTTTGCAGCAAATTTTCGATTTTGTAAGAAGCACTGGGAATTCTATACAACGTTCAGCCCACAAGGGAGCAGTTCTTTATTCGCGATTCCGACGAACTGTAGCTAGATATACAGCTAATTTTATTCCACTGCTGTAATGTAGCGGCAGTTTAGTAGATTGCCGACAAGAATACCATTTTGAGGTTCTTACTTCACGTAACCGTTGGAAGTATTTGTTAGTGTGTTTGACCAATGTTAATTTTTTTCCACACGTTGACTTTTTCAGAATACTGCTGGAAGTTTTGATTTCACTAATTAGTGTGGTTAATAATTTTCTTTACTGACAGTTAGACTAAGAAAATGTACTAAGTAATTCAATGCAGAGTTCGAATTAAATATTTGTAAACTGACTGTATACAACAAACTTAGTATGCGAGTATTTTATTTTCGAAGTCAAACAATTTTAAACTTATTTGCTCATTTTTTATAAGTGTTACAAATATTTAGATTCTGACATAAATAGTCGAAAACCAAATCATAGCCTTTATAATCAACAGTGAAACTTAGTAAATTAAATTGACCTTCATTTGCATCATTTAACTGTAGACCTAAATTTGGATCAGCAAAATTAGAAAACTAGATTAACATTAATGTTTAATTAACAATACAATGTATTGTAATGAAAAGTGTTTTGTACACGATCACAAATTTGGCAAGCGTTGAGTTGGTTAACCTAAAAATACTTTACAAGAATATATGATGGAAGACCGATGTGTGGGTTGTTTTTGAAACGAGTGACGTCAGCAAACTGACGTCATTCTTTACATTGTCATGTTTTTCCTTTATAAAAGCTATAGTAAATAATAACAACAGTAACTACAATTAAAGATGTATACCAAGTTCTTACCAGCAGTCGTACATAGATCCGTACGGTAGTAAGTAAAGACAACAGTTAATACAGTTAAAGATGTATTCCAAGATCTCACCAACAGAGAACGACCTACGCTCCCACTGACGCTCGTTTTTATACTAAACGTCAATCCTTTCAAACGTCAAGCTTTTTATCGGCATCGGGTCCATTTAAGTAGTTGCACCGAAATATATAATAAAATTAAATGTTTTTGTTCTCAAATTTGATCGCAGCTTCCTTGAGTTTAACCCTCGAGCAAGAAATGTAATTAATTAAACACCGATGGCAGGATTTTACTAAGACATAGGTAGCAACAACAACAACAAACAACAAAATAATTATAGTGAAAAGACCAATCATGAAGAATTGGATGCAATATGGCAGTATGTGTGGGGACGGTTTAAGAATACGTAGTGTCACCACCCATATTTATACCGTGGGTGTTGTAAAAGCCAACTAAGGGAGTAAACTACGCAGGACAACAGCACCGCAAAGAGAAGGGAAGCTTGACACAAACCCGTCTGGCCAGCGTGGTATAGTAGGCCAAAACCTCCTTTCTAAGGAGAGGCCCATGTCCAGCAGTGGACTACTAAAGACAGTTGATGATGATGGCAGTATGGCTGACTAGCCAAGGTTGTTTCAGACTGTACGTGTGCGGTATAGGAAGCCAACGTCTGCGTTCTATCACTGCGGAGGCTGTCGCAACATTCAGCTGCATCAGAGAAGCACTCCACTATCACGGGGTGCCAGCGTACCCGAGGCGGCTAGTGGTAGACGATTTAGAGGAGCGTGACGTCATATGCGAGGATCAAGATTTATATCAGAGGCATCGGCCCATGTCGCTTGGTGTTCTATAGGGGTGTTCTATAGGTGTTCTATAGGGGTATGTTCTTATGACCCTCCTGAGGTACATAGGGTACCACTGCG